TTCTTTAGATTAGGATTCCAAAACAGTCTTCTGGGAGTTTATACAATCTTGTTCCTTGGAGGTCTCAAAGACCAGTTGCAAAGGTTGCAGACAAACTAGGAAGAGGTAAAGACTCAGCTGCCCAAGTAGGAAACCTCAATATTTGACTTGGGCATCTTTTTTTCACTGACTTCAAGTAGGCATACTTGCTGCCACCAGATCCCAAAAATACCTTGGAGATCAGGGTTTCTCAACCACAGTATGGTTGGCACTTGGGGCTGGATAATTCTCAGTTGTGGAAGCCATCCTGAGGATATTTAGAGGCCAGTAGCATCCCTGGCCTCTATTTTTAGATATAAAAATTATCTCCCCAGAGTCATGACAATCAAAAAGTTCTCCAAACATTGCCAAGTTTCTCCTGGTTTTGTGTGTGTGTGTGTGTGTGTGTGTGTGTGTGTGTGTTGGTGGGGGGGGGGGGGGGGAAACAGTTGTCCATCGTTGAGAATCAGTGCCATAGGTCCACAGCCTTGAAGGTTAGCATCATTTCTCTGAAACTGTATTTTTCTTCTTAATGATAAAAATCAAAATGCCCTTGACCACATAAAATGAAAACCACACCAACAATGACATGCACTTTCTGTGAAGATGCTGAAAGGATAGTTTCTGACAAGTATCCAAACATTTATTGCTGCCTTTGCAAAGAACGAAACAGAAAGTGACATGTACACAGACAGAACACATTTGTTTCTCGCTCCAATAAACAGGAAAGCACCCTGAAAATACACATCTTCCCTACCCTCCATAGCATACAGGGTCCCAGTAATCGGTCAATACTTAACCCTGGAAAAGTCACTTGCTGAGCCACTACCTGAGCTGGATGCTGGGGACACTGGGTTCTGGGTGCTACTTTCACACAGGGAAAAACTCAAGAATACAAACAAGGTCACAGAACAGGTGCAATTTAATTTCAAGGTCCATTAGCAACACAAAGGGGGAAATTACACTTTCTGAGGCAAGCCCCGAACTCAGCAGGGGCATTTTTCATTTCCAAGTTTCAAATGGTAAGAATAAAAATCGTGGTTGTTTTTAAGAACAGCATCCAAGTTCAAATACACTGTGCTTCGATCCCAAACACTGAAAACATGACATATAGCAAATAACGTTGAAAAATGCAGGGCTGCCTGACATTCAGCTTGAGCCAAATATCAGAAAACAATCACTTGAGTTGAATCTGTACATTCGATTTTATGATCTTATTTCCCAAATGATCTTGTAATCCTACGTGGTCACACAAAGCAAATGCTATTGTTGCATCTTGTTTTTTTAGCAAAGAGTGAATGTTGGCCAGTAATTCAGCTGTCAAACAACAGCAAAAAGTTATAGATAGCATTAAAGTAAATAAATATACATGCCCCTGAAGAAGACCCCATGGCATTCCTATCCTCCAAAATATTACAACCTAGAGTTGTAACTCTCACATTCTATGAAGGCTCTGCCCCACAGAATTGTCTCTGCAACACAGAGTCATGACAAACAAGGCAGTCGTACTTAGGTCTGAGATGCCAAGCCCTGCTCTCAGGAGGATCCTCGTAAATATGAACAGAAAAGGGAATCACAGGGCAAATGTCCTCGGGCATAATCCAGTCCATGTGAGCAGTATCAGCCGAGTACCTTCAATAGGTAAGCTTTGGACACACCAGCGAAGGCAGAACTGACAGCAACCAGACATGCTCTCGTCCTCAAAAGCTGAGCAGTTTCATTAGCAGGTATCTATGTACTTTTGCCTTTATGCCCTATCAGGTACATGGCAAAGAACTACAGAGCCTATTCTGTTCCCTACAAGGCATCATTTAAGATCATGAAATGTAAGGTAGATAGGTCGTTCCAGAATCCAAAGCATCACTCTGCAAGTAGTAGACTTTTAAAAAAAATTTTTTTTTTTTAATTGTGATGCTGAGGATTGAACTCAGATCACTAGGCAAGTGCTCTGCCACTGAGCCTCACCCTACCTCCATGAAAGTAGATAATTTTGACAAGGGCACATTTAAGCCCTTTCAGAGACTAAATGTGGGTAAATTAATTTACCAAATGATGGGCAGAAGAGATTTTTTAAAAATCTACTTTTTCATTTCTTTGATTCCCCTTTGCCTTCAACAAAATCAACTGAGCTCACAAATGCAGTTCAATTTGATTCTTGATTTTAATAAAGTTCATTTCTACCTAAATTCCTCTGGGGGCACATTGACTTTTACATAATAAAAGAGCCCAAGGGTGATATATTTGGAAAGAAAAGTCATCCTGGATAAAAGCCACATAGAAGACAGCTAAACAGAACAAGGACACACACATACGCACGCGCACACACACACACACACACACAGCTGTCCCTTTAAAGAAAATAAATTTAGGGAGCCCTTCTTCGACTGCTATGGTACCCAATTTAGAAACGTTTTATAGTCAACCAGAAGATATATCAGCAAGCAATAAGACACAACAGTAAGCAATCAGCAACATCAGTGAGCAATAAGACACCAGAGTAAGCAGTAAAGACACACCAGAGAGAACATTTCTGAGCAATTACCACATGTCTTCATGCAGGAGAAGAGAAAGAAAAACTTCACTCAACTCAGATTGGAACCCTGTAAAAATGAACTCTCTCACAGCTCAGGAGCCATTGCTGGGATGACAAGCGGCCTCTGAGGACCCACAGTATGGCCATGACCAGAGAAAAGGCAGGAAAGCAATAAGAAACTGCTCAAAAATGAGGACTATAGACTTCAGCCCTTGTCCTTCTTTTTGGCATCCTGATCTCTAGGCATGGACGATAAAAAAAATATATATTGGTTAACTGACAAGATGTAAAGGACTCTCCCACCTCTGGAAATAGAGGAGTATGCCTAACACATTCTCTAGACAATGTGCCAGAATATGCAAGTATTCTGTTTTCCTAATGGACCAATAAAAATCATAAAAGTATGGAGCGTGTCCCCGGCACACTGGAAAGATGCAAAGCAAGAGAATGAGGTTAATTATTAAAGGCTCAACTCTAACTTTGCTCCTATTTCCCAAAAAAGGAAAAGGTAACAAAACACTCTAGTTCTTTAAATATCAAAAAACAGCATTGGTGGCACATTCAGAGGCACAACACAGAGCCAATGACTTAGTGAACATGCTCAAGAGATACTTGTTAGCTGAATTATACTCAGTTCAACACACAGGGCTAATAACCCATCTTAAAGAAGTAGCCCCAAAGGCCCTTCCAAGTTATTCCTGGAGGTCACTTATGATCCTGTGCTCTGAGACTAGAAACCCTGGTGGAAAACTCTTTCTCTTTGAGTCTGGCACTCAGAATTAAAGCCCACAGCTGGAGAGAGAATTATAGCAGATACGTTGACATGAGCCCTGAAACTGAAGGACTGAGGCAGGAGGGAGGGAGGCAGCAAAATTAAAGGCCAGCATACCACCCCCACCTCCAATATCAGATCATGCAGAGCTGTGGTGAAATCAGATAGGCCCTTTCCAAAAGCATCATCTACTAGGGATGGGCATGGGGGAGTGGGACTGGAGAGGCATGGCTCCCATTTATTAATAAGCAGCTTAACACAGTGGGAGGTTTTCTTGTCTAATTACAGAAACTGTGGGAAACTGCAGGGAAGACGGGATTTATGGCCTAGATGACACCGCCTCTGTGTTGTAATTAAAAGTTATTTTTAATACTTTGGTTGGATACTTTGGATTATTAGAAATATATTTTGCAATTTAAAATTTGCTAAGGGGCAAAGAATATAACAAAAAGGTAATACAACCAGCCTGAATAACATGAAGCGATTAAATGTTTCGACACTGGGAGGTAGACAAGAAAAGAATCTCTCCTAGTTTAGACTGAATTTTTATAAGGAAGAGAAAAGAAAAAAAAATAAGCCACAGAGTATATGAAAGTAGGTTTTTTGGGCTGGGGATGTGGCTCAAGCGGTAGCGCGCTCGCCTGGCATGTGTGGGGCCCGGGTTCGATCCTGCACCACATACAAAGATGTTGTGTCCGCCGAAAACTAAAAAATAAATATTAAAATTCTCTCTCTCTCTTTCTATCTATCTATCTATCTTTAAAAAAAAAAAAAAAAAAAAAAGAAAGTAGGTTTTTTACATTTCAAAAGTACCCTGGCTACTTACTTTATCTCTTAACCAGAATTAAGGTCACCCACCAGAAGTATAGATAGCTCTTTTCACAACCAATCATCTGAATCACCTAACCCAAATCCTCCAGCTCTTCCCTTTGTCCTGGGTCCCTAGGAAATAGTAGTCACCCTAACAAGCAGTCCTGGCTCAGGTATGAAGACCCAAGGGCCATCCTCAGGGCAGGGTTGTGGAAGGATGGGTCCAACATGGCATGCTATGGACAATAACATGCCACCTACCCATTTGAGTTTGCTTTTTAACCCTTTTCTCTTCTCTCATCCAAGATTTCAACTTCAAGATGGGACCAGACAAAATGCATCCCAGTAATAAATGCATGATAGTTTCCCTAAGTGGCTACAGAACCTGGTCAGAATTAGGCCATCTGTCTCTGAAAGGTCACTTCCAGAATTTCTACTGTTCCATATACAAATAGGGTCTTTTCTGTAATGGCAGCTCTACTTGAGCAATGGAGGAGAGAATGTATTATGCATAAGAGACTTTTGAAATTATCGGATGAGTGGGGAACAGGAAGGAACTCTGACTGGCATGAGCTTCTCAGATAACCTCTCTATTTCATTTAATCTGTGCTATGAATCTTCTCATTAGACGTCAATTTCAGGAGCTCATTAGGTGCGAATGTGTCAGAGAAACCACCGGATATTACACATGACAATGAGGTCATAAAAGCATTCTGGCATCTGTTATTGAAAAATAAATTTCAGCTTATCTTCACAATAGCCACACCAAGTTTAAGGAATTCATATAATATCAACAGGAACCTTGATGCTCCTTTATTCTTCCCTAGTCCAAAGCAGGTTTCAATTGCATGGGACAGACATTCTTACCTGCTACATTAATTTTCTCAAGTGCTACCAAGCTGGGAACAGCTGTGGTGGAGTTGGTCGAGTTTGTTCCTGTGCCATTGATAACGAGATTGTCCACCTTCGACTCTAGCTTGCCAATACGCTGCAAAATGTTGTCCAATAGTACAGCAAGAGTTTTCTTCAGGTCTGAAAAAGGAAATGTAGATTTTTTTTTTTTAATTCTGTACCTATTTCACTCACACATAACAGAGGACAAAACTTTGTAAATGTGGTCTGGGGATGTAACTCAGTGGTAAAGCATTGGCCCAGAATGTGTAAGGTTCTGAGTTTGACCTCTAGCACTGAAAACAAAACAAAATGCTCAAATGTTTCTGAAGTGGTGCAAAAACCCTGTCCTAACAACCCACATCTTAAAGATGACAGCAGCCACCATCAATCAGCCCAGACCTATGAAACAAATCAGTCTGCTACAGAATGTGTTTGTGGCAAGCAGTAATATAAAATTATTTCCAGCTACTAGGTCCAAAGAGAAAAATCTATGCTGGGGATATTCTCTCTCGTGGCACTGACATTTTATTGATGAGTGGAGTCTGTTTCTTATCCATCTGACTCTGTTAAAAAGCAGTGACCTTCCTTCTGGATGAACTATAGGAATACTGTCTTCATCCCCATACAAGTGTTACCAAGTTTGTATGCAACATACTCCACAGGGGAGGGAAAAAAAGCAATGAACTTAGACCCTGTCTTCTGGAAACTCACCATCAAAGAAAGATATACTGACTTGTATGTGTCTGAAAGGCAGATGGATAAGAGTCATCCATGTGAATAGAATCCAGACCTGCTTATGAACTGGGAGTGGGCCAGGGGAAAAATGCCCAGTGTGGACAGCAGGACACAGAAGAGCCCTGAATTAAGACAAATGGGAAGTGTCACCTTCCATTCTTCAGAGAACAGAGCAAGCTGGCCTCTGAACAGGTGCTCTGCTCTGCCCAGGAGCAGAACCCACACCTGGTCCTTTCCCCCACCTAGACCGCAGCCAACGGACCTCAGCCAAGCTGCATGCAGGCCAAGAGAGAAACTCATTAGAATGGAAACCCAGACGTGTAATTAACATGGAAGTTTGTGTTGTTAATGGTTTAAAGACAGAAACAAAATCTGTATCTTTATCCTGAAAGTTGTTCTATTCTCAAAATCTGGTTCTTGGCATAATTTCATCCCAGTGCTAAATATTAAACTTCTTCATGGTGATAAGGTCCATAGCAGCTTCTTTGATCTTTCACTCCAATAAATATCTGAAACTCATTTTACTACTGTTCAATGCATATTTTACCTAAAGGTATTATAAATTTTCCCCCATAGGTTTTAATATTTTGACATCTTCAAAAACCTTTCTGTTTGTCCCTGAAGAGCTAGCCAATTCTTAGAGATAATGAAAAGCCCAGTCTGAAGCAAGCCTTTGACAATTCAAACCAAGGAACCCGGAGACAGCTTCACTATCTGGCCCACACAAACACAGGAGATAATCACAACTCTGCCTTGATGGCCTCAGGGCCAGATAATAGGCAATAGGGATTTCTGCTGCACCCCAGAGCCCGCCAAGATTATTAAAATTAGCCAAACCTAATCTCTTCACCCTGCTCCACCTTCCCTTCTCAAGGAAACCTTAATAAATAAACGCAAGCAACTAACCCACCCCTCATTCATATCTTCTGCCTCCTGACCAACCCAGGGTCTTTCCTGCATGACCTTGAATGATGTGCCCTGCTGCCAGTCTCCAGGACCTCTGAGTATGATATACTTTGTTTCCTGTTCCTCCCAAGTGCCCTTCTTGTGGCTACACCTACCAGCCAAATTATAGAACAATTATGCAACACACAAAGGCCAGCAGGGAGCAATGGTGACTGCAGCACCAAAGGTTGGAGGGGAATTAATGCTGGTCACATACCACGCACACAGGTAAGCAACCCTGTTTGATCTTCACGGCCTCCCCCTGAGGTCAGTATAATTCCACTGTACAGATGAGAAAACGAAGTTTGGAGACAGTTCAAGTATGAAGTTCAGAGTCTTTCCCCTATCACATAGTGGTAAAGGGCCCAGAATTCCTGGGCTCGCGTTTTAGTTCTCCATTCCTGTTCCCTTAGCACTGTTTTGCTGGCAAGAATAGGTTTGGTTTTATAAAGAGCACTCAAGGAGGCCTGGAGGTGTAGCTCAGTGGTAGGTCCTGAGTTTGATCTCAGAACCACCAAAAGAAGAAGAAAAGGGAGGAAAAAAAAAAAACTACCAAGCATTAATTTGTTAATGTTTACCAAATGCCAAGTAATGCCGGGCACATAATTACCCAGGCAAAACTACCTATTACCTGTATAAATAAAATAAAAATTCCCTCTGGAACATGCTCTCATCCTTCCTAAAGAAGTCTCTCCTTGAGTGATGCAAAGCTTTGTTACTTAATCTGAAGGGTCACGAGATCATGCTCCTCCCCGGCTGTAGCATGACTCAGTGCGTCCCTGGCACGTCATTAGCTGGCATGGACAGTGGGAGTCAGTCACCCGCTCTGCTCTGTAGCTGTGTCGAATACATTAACTGGCTCTCCTGAGTTCTGGAGATTACTGGAGGCTAGCCATGCAGACAGGGACAATTGTGCCACTGAGAGGTGGCTAAGCTCAGCAGAAGCAAACACTTGTCAGATGCAGGACATCAATCTCCCCATCTCCAACCTCTGCCTGGAGCCTGTATCATCAGTCAACTAGAACCGGTGTTAAAACAGCATTTAACTGTTACTAGCAACTGTTGTTAACCAGACACTGAAGCCCAGGTCCTCCCCTGGGCATGGGCTAACCCTGAGTTTCTCAACCTCAGCATGACTGACACCATGGGCCACATCAATCTTTGATATGAGGACTGTCCTGTGCATTGTAGGAGCTTTGGCAGCTTCACTACTTCTACCGACTAAATGAAAGCAGAAATTCCCCAGTTATGTCAACCAAAGGTGCCTCCCGACATTGTCAAATATCTCCTGGTGTGGGGAACAAAATGGCCCCATTTGAGAACTGCTGAACTATGAATATCCCCCAACCCTTGTTTTCTCCACTGTCCCCCTGTGCTGTTATCAAGAGAGAAGTGTGTGTGCGTGTGCGTGTGTTGGGGTGAGGTTGGGGTCTGGGAGTTGGGCAGGATATGCAAGAGTGAGAAACTACTCAGAATCTACACGAGGTGTCACTTCCAGGCACCAGAGGTACCACTGCAAACACCAACGCAAGCAGCAAGGACGGACATTTGCCTCCCCCAGAGAGCCAATCAAAGATGAGCCAGTGCGGCTCATCAGTTCCCAAGGGCTGGTGACCATTGGGAACCATGTTAGAAGACAAAAGGACTACTGGACAATCTCCAACCAATACTTATAGATGAGAGTCACTGGAGCAACACAGTTGCATTAACACTCAGCAAGATATTCTCCCTCAATTCTTGAATCGCAGTCCCCTGGGAAATGGGACCTACTACCTTACTGATCACTGCCTGCCACTGATTGACCGTCTGTGACTGTGACAGAAAGTAATAAAGAAATCAATGAGGAGGAGGAGGTTGATGCTCATCCTCACAACTACCGCCCCAACACCACCACCACTTAGAGTTCTGTGAGCCAGTCTCTCTGTGCTAAGCACTGTACACGAATGAACTCATTTAATTCTGTCAAGACCTATGAGGAACTCATGGTTATTCCCATCCCCATTAGACAAGTCAGTCACAGCACAAAGAAGCTAAGTAATTTGCCCCAGGTTACTGGGATCCTAGGATGGAAATAGTCTGGTTCCTGAACAAATGGCTTTTGTCTACCATGTTGCCTTGTAAGGATCACCATGGACCTGTCAGCAGGAGTCTCTGAACCCTCCCTTTGGGATTCTATCACTGTTACACCCTCAAGATTTGGTAATACCAATGTCCTGTGGCAACTCTGTCCTCCTGACAGTATCTCTGATGTTCAGCTGGAGACCACCAGAAACATCAAGAGATCTGAGAACACCCCCCAAAAATCAATATATATAATATTTATACATATTACATATCTCCCTTTCCACAGCTACTGCCTTAAAGTGAGGAAGAACTATTGAGTGGCCAAAAACCTTGGACTCTCTAGGTACTTCCTCTGGGTAAGCACATTTTCTCTCCCAACATGAGAGAAAAAAGAGTTCATTTTCAACTCAACTAGCAATCTGAGTTACTATTTCAAAGTAGTCCAAGATTAAAGACATTGTTAATAAGAAACACAAAGATAAAGATGACATCAAGCCTACCTGGCATCTTTACTCACTAAGCACAGTGCCAGGTACATTATGGTACTCAATAAATATGCTTTGTAAAAGTGAAGGGGTGAATGAACAAGGAGACAAACTATGTCCTCCCACAAATAAAGACAAAACTATATTTCCAGATGATGAAGTTATTTCTCACCTTTGTATTTTACAGTTCAACCGGCAAAACCTGTTAATAGCTTTATTTTGATTTTAAACAGAATATTTTTTGTTTAGTCTTAATGATAACCTGTTTATACAATAAGACTATACATCAAAAATAATTTCTACCGAGTTTAATAAGACAATGAGGGTGAAAATATTCCTCCAAATTCTAGTATAATATTTTATATTTATCATTGTGTTTTACAGTTATTATAGCAGTAAAACGTGCCCTCAGCAGGATTATAATTTTCAGTCACTAATGAGCTTTTAAAATTTTGTTTGTGTTTCAAAGCCTTAGCAATAAAAATTTAATCCTGACATTACTACTGCAATTCTGTGTTCCTAGAACTCATTGTACATGATAAAGATGAGATCAAAGTAGTTGAACCCACTTAAAATGCCCCTTTGGGGAAAGGAGGCTTTAGTTCCCATCATGCCTGAAGTTCCTTGATAAATGGTGAGATCAATTAGATTGCATTAAGAACAGGTGCTCTGTCAGCGTCTGTAAGTTTTCATTCCCAGGAAACCAGGACACTAGGGATACATCAGGACGTGAGTTGCTGGCTCAGCCTTGACCAGGACAGCCATGAAGATATCACTACCAGCCACACATAGAATCCAAGGAGGCAGAATCTCAGAAGAAAAGGGGACCTTGCTGGTAGATTGGGGTTATAGATCTATCCACTAAAGCTGAGACTGGGTGGTAAAACTTGATTTCCTCCACCCTCGAGT